CTGTATAAACTTTTTGAATCTTGAAAGTTTTTGTTACATTGACTTTCAATGGAGGGACAGAAATGGAGTTTCATTGAATATAGCTTCATAGTGTTTCAAAGATGAGCAAAAGTCTTTTGGGTTTGGAATGACATGAGGGTGAGTAATTGATGACAGAATTAAAATTTTTAGATGAACTAACCCTTTAAGTTTCCCTTAAAAGATGAAAGTGATGTCTGCGGCAGGACTAATGTTCCCAGCATGCACAGCAGCATGAATGAATCATGCAAACTACTGCTTTTCTGTTCATTGATTTACTGATTACTGCAATTTGATGGTCACTTGGCTATTTGATGTTCATTGCATATCTAATCAAAAATGTATTGCTATTATACAGTAGAATAAGTAATAATAATAATACAGTTTAGTAGAACTTTAAGGAATATCACAATTTTTATCCATGTTTTAATTTAAACAGTATACCTTTGTTGTGCAGTACTTTGTTTGCCAAAAATTAAAAGAATTGTTCTAATTTCAGTTTATTACATTTTAAAAGATGAATAAAATTTAATTTTTATTAGTTCATTTGATTACTTTTGATAATGCATTTGTATTAAATCATGAAACACAATTGGGAATAATTAAAACAGACAACAGAATTTCTGGGGGGAAAAACATTTTATAGGAAACTATTATTGTTAAAGTTTATTAAATTTGTAAATCGTTATTGAATTAGATGCCCTTTTGATTATTAAAATGTAATTAAACCAATTAAACTGAAAAAGTAAACACAAAAAAAACAAATTTGGGGAAAGAAATAAAACAATGTTAATACACAAGCATGAGAGCAAGTTTTCCTATTACCTAGTTGATTTTAGGTCAGTTTAAGTTCATTTAATTCACTTAACTTGTAGAATTCATTTGTCTTTATTAAACTATCTATGACTAAAACTGTATTTAGCATTTCGAACACGACTGACATCTCTTTTTTGCTGTAGAATGAGCATTGCACTAATGTGTTTGCTCTGTCCATAATTTCCTCCATCCTTACCAATGATAATCTATTCATAGCCTTCATGGGTAAAATAGCATAAGATAATAAAATTCATCATAATTGCAGAAAAGAAAAGCCCATCACTGATGACAGTGCTCTCTGCATTAGAGACTGAAGTCACGCATTGCTGGTACCAGTTTGGATAATTAAACACAGGCCTGGTTTAATCCCACTGATTCCTCTCGTCATATAAGAATACACGCACACAATTGGGAGAATGACATATGGCATTAAAGGGACAGTTCACCCAAAAATAAAATTTACTCACCCTCAAGTTGCTCTAATCCTGTATGAGTTTCTGTTGAACATAAAATAAGACATTTTGAAGAATATATGTAACCAAACAGTTGCTGGTAGCCATTGGAGAAAAAAAAATACTACAGAAGTTATTGGGTAGCAGAAACTGTTTGGTTACCAACATTCTTCAAAATATCATCATCTGTGTTTAGCAGAAGAAAGAAATTTATCCCTTTAAGGTCTAACAAATGCACCCCTACATCATGGCCACCTGCAGCAGGAGCTCTTATGGGTGCCGTGGCTTATAGTGGTTAAGATATAGTGCTCTGAATCTGATGTTATTTTAGACAAATTCAATCAAAATTCAAGCCACTGGAGTTTTTTCCTCAGTCATCTTGCTGAGGGTAATTTGGTTTAAGGGTAAGGTTGGTTGGTTGATTACTCTAGTATGTTTAATAATAGATGTCCTTGAACTCAAGATGCTCTCTGCAGAGTGGAGCTGAAGGCCACCTGCTAGGAGTCCATATGAGATTTGACTCTGGTTCTCATGGCCGCATTCATACGAGGCAGAATCAGCAGGGAGGTTCACTTTCAGAGGCGTGACACTATTGATGACACTATTGACTTGACACTTATCAGTGGGGAAGGTCCAAAAATTCAAAGAATAATGGAGAAAAGGACAATTTCTCTCCTGGTTTTTCTTTGTCTTACACAATTTCAGGAAGTCACAGCCTTTGTAGTTTCACATAACAGGACATTTGACTATCACCATCAAATCTACTTCGCAGCTCATTCTGTTGAATAATAGCTCCACTAAAATATGATAAGTTTAAATAGTGGCAATTTGGCGTAATTGTTTGTTGTTAGTTTGTTTGAGTTTTCCATCTTTTCCTTACTTTCCTTCACTTCTAAATAGCTTAAAAGCGCCGTGCACATTTTTCTTTCACTTTCGAACTAGCGTCAATTCAAGCATCAACAAAATACAACTTCAAACTCAACTTAGCATATATATATATATATATATATATATATATATATAAATCATAGAACTTTTATTAACAAAATTAATCAAAATACACCATTCTATAGCTATGCCTAATATAAAATAACAAATAACTTACACAAAGTTTAAATAGCCTAGGTATATAAAACTGAAAATCAGCAAACACTGTGGAACCAATTAAATAAGAAACGAATGTTTAAAAAAAAAAATCACCTTAGATAAACTGCAAAAGTCAACAGGCTTTTCAAAATCCAAAATATTGCCAAACATGCGCTTCTGCTATCATCTTGTCTGTCTCACCTCACTCGAATGAAATCTAATCTGATGCGTCTGTTGTTTGGCACGCTGTATTGAGCAGACGCATTTAGTTTTTAACTCCAGTGTCTGTTCTCTAACTGAAATAAATTATTTTTATTACTATAAAAATCTAAACGATGGTGGTGGACGGTGCCGCAGTGGGCAAGTTGCGGCTTAACACCGGCTTAACATCTCCGCCAACACTGTTTATAGCAACAAGCCTACCATAGACTGGTGAACATTACAAGCAGAAGTTAATTCAGCTTGTAAATAATTAGCAGTCTGAGTGAACATTGTTCTGTCCTGAAATGAGCGGAAAAAGAAGTTCTGTGCAACCAAACCAATTTCACAGACATACCTAAATCTGCAGTCCGTAACTTTTCTTTTTTTTCTTTTTCTTTTTTTTGATTAAAAATGATCCAAAATAAATTTTTGGGCACATACATAAACAGCCAGTGTTCAAATCTATCTCCTTACCTTTGCCCGATTCACAACGGTAAGCTTGTAATAATGTTTTCTAATTTGAGTGGTACTGGTAGGTTTTTACAGAAAATACAAGCATGCGCCTTTTGTCTTTGCATCTTTACATCATGTCTGTAAACATAAAGAAGGAGTCCCAGTAGGCTATATCGCCTGTGAGGATGCTGCAGGTGGTGAATCATTAATAGCTTTTTCTCACAGCAGCTGAATTAATTAAATTTATCATTTTGATGGTGGAATGTAATCCAGAAAGGTCCATACGAAAATCATCAGTGACAACTGGAGATTCACCCATAGTCACCAGTAGTCTACAGGTAACGCTAATACACACTAAATACACAGTCACGCAATGCTGCTGCTGTTAACATTAACATTTTGAGAACTAAGTATAACAATAATAATCATTTGAATGGTTTGATGTGATATGAGCTAACCGATCGTTAGATTTAATCACCATTGGTAGTGTGATGTATTGCAATGCTTTTTTTTCTAAATTGGTCAGAACAAAAGTGGCAGACATGTTACTTAGTTGTTCAGATAACATTTTCCAGTGAAAATTCTTATTTGGGTCATACTTCCAAGATGCAGAATATGTGATTCCTAAGTACAATGAATATCCTGACAGCCACACGTTTACCTCAAAATACAAACCCGATTCTTAAAAGTTGGGACACTGTACAAATTGTGAATAAAAACAGAATGCAATGATGTGGAAGTTTCAAATTTCAATATTTTATTCAGAATACAACATAGATGACATTAAATGTTTAAACTGAGAAAATTTATAATTTTAAGGGAAAAATAAGTTGATTTTAAATTTCATGGTATCAACACATCTCAAAAAAGTTGGGACAAGGCCATGTTTACCACTGTGTGGCATCCCCTCTTCTTTTTATAACAGTCTGCAAACATCTGGGGACTGAGGAGACAAGTTGCTCAAGTTTAGGAATAGGAATGTTGTCCCATTCTTGTCTAATACAGGCTTCTAGTTGCTCAACTGTCTTAGGTCTTCTTTGTCGCATTTTCCTCTTTATGATGCGCCAAATGTTTTCTATGGGTGAAAGATCTGGACTGCAGGCTGGCCATTTCAGTACCCGGATCCTTCTTCTACGCAGCCATGATGTTGTAATTGATGCAGTATGTGGTCTGGCATTGTCATGTTGGAAAATGCAAGGTCTTCCCTGAAAGAGACGACGTCTGGATGGGAGCATATGTTGTTCTAGAACTTGGATATACCTTTCAGCATTGATGGTGCCTTTCCAGATGTGTAAGCTGCCCATGCCACACGCACTCATGCAACCCCATACCATCAGAGATGCAGGCTTCTGAACTGAGCGCTGATAACAACTTGGGTTGTCCTTGTCCTCTTTAGTCCGGATGACATGGCGTCCCAGTTTTCCAAAAAGAACTTCAAATGAATAATGAATCTCTTAAAGAAAAAATTGTAATATTGTGAAATATTTCAATTACAAAAAAACTGTTTTGTATTTTTAATATTTTAAGTGTAATATATTCCTGGGAAGGCAAAGCTGAGTTTTAATTTTCTTTACTCTAGCCTTCAGTATTACATTATTTTTCAGAATTCATTCTAATATACTGTAGCATAACTCAACATGAAATATACAATTCTGCTTGTTGATATAAAGTTCCTACTAAGTACCTCAAACAAAACACAGAATATTGAATTTGATGCAACAGATCAGAAGTGTTCATTGCAGCCCAGTACCTTGTAAAAATGTGTGCAACCCTGATAGCAGCAGGCCAATCAAATTCAAGTTAGAGCTTGTCACACTGAGAAAGCTCTTTGCCTTTTTGTGTACAATTGACATCAGATGGTCTCTGGAGGAGCGAAATATGGCTTAAACAACTTGCTAATTGCTGTTGCATATGCTGTGGTCTGCCCTGGAGATGAACTGTTTTGTTGATGTTTTTATGTCTGTTTCCTCACAGCTACGCTCGGCACTCTGGACTTCAGCCTTCTGTATGATCAGGAGAACAATGCCCTGCACTGCACTATCAACAAAGCCAAGGTAAGAACCGTCCTCAGGAACAAATGTGTGAGATTCACATACACAAATCCAAATGCTCATTTTTGGCAGCACCTCCAGTATTTTGAAGCCAGTGGGCCGCTTCATAAAACTCCTTCCTTCTGCTAGTCTGTCTTTTATAGGGTCTATAAAGTTCAATAAAGTGAACGATTTTGCCCGGTCCTCTTTGTAATAGGGATGTTGTGCTCCAGGGGGATCCCTTTGGCCTGCGTGTGCCTGTGTGCTCTTTTCTCTGTTGTCGTGTGGGAGGAATTTCCCCTGACAACAGACTGCTGCTAGCATCTGCTGCTGTCTGTTTTGCTTAGTATTCAGTCTAGACCGGCTTTGTCCCTCCAGCAGTATGCTACAAGCAATCGCTCTCTCACTCTCTCTCATCTTTTCTTCCTGTTTCAAATGCTGTTTCTCACACTCTACCTCTGTACCTTTGTTGCCTCGAGTACAAAACACTGCAATGAAAGTGCAACACTTCAGTAGTTTCATTTTATTTATTTTATTATTATTTTTTGCTCTTTATTCTCAAATGGTTCTGTTTCAAGAGGATCTGTTGCAGGAAGAACAACTCCTGTGATTTCTCAAATTTTCATAATTAATATTGAATAGTGATGCATTCTATAATTTAAGGGAACTACGTAGAGCTGGTATTTACATTTAAATGAAGAGTTTATCCAAGAATGAAGCATTTCAGAAGCTTTTTTAATAGCTTTGTGTGAGAGAAACCTTAAAATGTCAAGATTAGAAATTAAGATGTTTGAAAATTTTGTCTTGTTAATATTCAGAAGACATAAATCCTGTGGACTACTTTTTCTGTGCCACTTTAATGGTGTTTCTGCATCATTTGAAAGCTTCAGTCCCTATTCATTATAATTATGTGGAAAGGAGCAACCAGTGCATTAATTACCACAATATATTATAGTAATATTCTAATATGATAGCCACAGGTGATGAGAATGCAGTAGAGTTTGAAATTGTGTTATTTAGTGTATTATTTATATACTGTTATAGTTTTATTAATGTTTTGAATTAGCTTTTAGTTTAATATTTTTAGCTTTTATTTTAACTTTAGTTTAATTTTTTGTCATTTTGTTATGTGCTTTTGATATTTTTTTTTAAATATGTTTAAAAATATATAAGTCTTGGTTTGATTTATTTCACTTTCTGTTATAGTTCTGTTTTAATCATTTTAGTGATTCAAACTTATTTCAGTTTTTTGCAAAGGCATGATTTCTCAAGTTTTTCATATATTTTTCAGTGAACAAAAATGTTTTTAAAAGTTTTAGTCTTAGCTAATGATAAAATGATATAATGAAGGTGATTGGGATGATTAGTGTTCTGGTTGATTAGTGAAGTAAAGTAGTATGATTTATTAGATATGTATTTTTTAGCATAGTGCTTTTAAGGTTTGTCAGACTTGAAATCTGTGACTGTGAGAAATTCTCATTATTGTGCATATTCCCTAGCTCTCTCTTTCTCTATATTTTTTTTGCATTGAAAGGTTACGTTTATTTAACCTATCGAATGTCTGTCAGTCGCCTTACTGAAGGGCTGTGATGCATGCATATATCACTAAAAATGTGTCTGGTGGATTTGAACCTAAACCAACCTGATTATACAGGGCTTCTCTAAAGTCAATTCTTCAGTGCATGTTATTTCGAAGAAAAAGAGCATTTCTCACAGCGAGATAATCAACAGATTGTACTATAATTGCTCTCTTTGGTCGGTGTAATCACTATAACAGCAATGCAAGAGAGAAGGATTTCCACCTAAATCTAGTCAGTGTCTCTTCAGCTACAAAATTCACTGCATGAGCAGCTGTGCATCTTTTTGGCAGAGGCCTCTCTCTCTCAGAGGTGTGCTGATGCCTGTGGGACGGGAGCCACTGATTTGGGTCTCTGGGTCTCTCTCTCTCTCACTCTCTCTTGTTTTCTCTCATTCTATCTAACACTAAGCACTCAAATGTCACCTTTGATGACATCTAATCACTCTGTAAAGCAAACTTTCAATTATGACATAATGCTCAGACAATCAACCTAGCATGTGCTTGGTTTGAAAATCATATTGATGAATCATGAAAGACACAGAGTGGAGATTTATTCACACATTAGTTAGAAACCAGTGCAGTTATTCATTCACAAATAGTTAAACCATAGTCAAACTAAATTACGCATTTTAAAATATTTCAATATATACGAGTAATTTTATTTTACAATAGCAAAATAAATCACAATACAGTTATTGTTATTTTATTTTATCTTCGATTCAAATTATAAACAATAAGACAAATAGAATAAATCAAAGATACAAATTACATAAACAGTGCTTTGAAGGGATAGTTCACCCAAAGAGGAAAATTCTGTCATCATTTACTCACCCTCATGTTACAAACCTCTATGGATTTCTTTATTCTGTTGAACACAAAATAAGATATTTTGATTGTTGGTAACCAAACAGTTGATGGTAGCCATTGACTTCTGTAGTGTTTTTTTTTTTTTTTTACTATGGAAGTCACTGGCTACCGTCAACTGTTTGGTTACCGGCATTCAAAATATCTTCTTTTGGGTGAACTTTCCTTTTAAGTTTTTCAAATACAACAGATCTATTTAAAACTAGCATTCATGTGAGAAATAATACAAACATTTAATAATTTGAGCATCAATCTTATTGAGCATCAAACACAATGTTTATTTTTTCATTCACGCTTGTAAAAGACTGGGTGCCATGAAATGAACCAAAGGCAATTAAAAACAGCATTTCTATATTGTCATACTTCAAAAATAAATTAACTATTATGATCTGGTTTTTATTTAATCGCTTAAAAAGACTCACAAATCAGTCCTGAACTTGGCTTAGCCACTTACTCATTCACTAAATTGTCAGTTCTTAACTTAATCACTAAACCTCATCCTTTCAAAAAAAAAAAAAAATCAATTTTTTAGACCAGTAATTCATCTTGTTTTACAGTAAAAATATCTAAACATCCTTAAAACGAGATGCATTACATGGGAAGCTAAATTGCATAAAATATCGGGGCCTAAAATATGAGTTCCATTTAATGAGGTCTTTTTATATATGCTTCTTTAGAAGAATCATTAAGGATCCACAATCATTAAGTGAAATTAGAGGCAGAATGGTTACATTTTCATCCCTCTTTAAAAAAAGGCTAATCATAAGTCTGTTTTGTAGCCTGTTGGATCTGTTCTTTGTGTCAGTGACAAAACCCTTCATAAAAGGTAAATAAAAAGGGCAGCAGTCATTGCTGGCAAGCACAGATATCCTCTGGAGAAACAGAAGCCTCATTGTTTTTCTCTCCTCATTTTACGCCTGAGATTAACACTGCTATTGAAATCAGCTCATATGGAGCAGAAGTGAGAGGCACTAAATATGTGATTGCCAACTGTACTGTATATGGCATTATGTGATTTTATAGGACACCTACAGTCCTCAAGACTCGTTTCCATTTGTTCAACCTCTTGATGTAAAAACACTTCATTTACATTTATACTCATTTACAATTTTATTTAAAACAATTGTGTTAAATTGTGTTATCGCCAAGGCCGATATATTTTTCTGTTTGCCTGATGCATTCGAGGTGGGACTTTTATTTTGACTGCACTGAGAGCGGCAGCGCCTGAGCACACAGTGCTCACATTCTCCCTCTTGTTCGCTGTCGTCGTTAACAGTTCTGTCTAATACAAAATGTATACAAAAAGTATTTTAACGATTGCTTTTATATTATTAGTAATAGAAAGGCAAACATTATAATACTTTCTCGTTTGCCGTCAGCATTCAGCAAATACACATTTACATCATTTAAACAAATCTTTGAATGGCTAAAGAAAAGAAAATTTCACAAACCTTGCAAACTTAGTCGAATCCAGTTGTGAGATTTTGTGAAGTGTGCATGTGACCAGCTTTCGGTCCGTGCAAATTGAATGCTTTAAACATTACATTTGTGATTTCAAATTATGCTGCGCTTTATGCATTTGCCCATGGCCATCGGCCACCTTGCTTTCCAAGATATCGACATCGGTTGTCAAAAAAACAATATCGGTCGACCACTACACAGTATGAAGTTGCCATGAGCTGTGATGACTTGCTGGGAAAAGAGGGAATAAGAGTGGTTAATTAGCAGTGTTTGCAAAATTAGCAAATTATAACTATTATTTTACATTACCGTTCAAAAATTTGGGGTCAGTAAGATTTTTTTTTCTTTGAAAGAAATGAATAATTTTATTCAGCTGCATTGCATTAAAGGGATAGAAAATGACAGTAGAGATGTTTATAATGTTACGAAAGATTTCTATTTCAAATAAATGCTGTTCTTTTGAACGTTCTAATCATCAAAGAATCCTGAAATAAATGTATCAAAGTTTCCACAAAAATATTAAGCATAAAAATTTTTGAAAATGAATTCCCCACTTAGGTGACTCTTGTGAGAGGGGATTTTTAAATTTGAGGGGTGGAGGGGGGCATTTTTTTTTTACATTTTTCAAAAATCTATATTTATCTCAATGAAATATTTGATCATGCACTGCATTTTTGTTTTTACAATTGTACAATTGTTGCACAATAGCTTACACACAGCACAAGCCTGATTTCGAGAGCTATATGTGAGGTGGCCTTTTACACCAGATTCACACATACTCCGTTTGCAGTGCGTATGCAGTCCATGTGTGGTACTTAAGCGGTGCAGAAGCAGCTTTCACACAGGAGTCTGCTCCTGATCCATGGCTGTTTACTACACAAACAACATTTATCCGTTATTTTGATTTCAAATCCAAACATTGTTACTTAAAATGCTTTTTCAGCATTGTGATTCTTTTTTTACAGTCCAGTTATACAATCTTTTATAGACGTGTTGCGATAAATATAAGAAACACATTATTCAATGCTTTATTTAATGAAGAAAAATGAATTGTACCTCACCTTCAGCATTATAATTATTTTACCCGAGTCGGACAGAGACTGACACGGTGCCGCTGCAT